TTACCAGCCGCAGCTGCGGGCCCAGCAGCTGCACCCTCTGTGCTCCTCCGCACTGCCCCCCACACGGCAGTGCCTGTTCCCGGGGCCTCATCCAGCGCTGAGGGTGCAGAGGTCCCTGTTACTGCCCTGGGGCTCAGCTCCATCAAACCAACCCCGAGCACGCTCTCTGTGCACTCCCATGTCACACGCCCACGCTCGCACCCAGAGAGCTCCGTGCATCTCCCTAAGCCACGTAAAAGGGGCCCGAAAAGATATTAAATAAATTTGCTACCTGTGTTTGTGGTTTATACCACACCTCACGCTGGTTCCATGGGTTAGATTCCGCCACCACTAACAGGAGCCTGATGGCATCTCCTCACCTTTTGCCGAGACCCAGGAGCTTCCAAGAACCTTTCCCAGCCCACCACTGGTGGGGCGCGGGGCCGCAGCACCAACACCATTTTGTTCCAACTGTTTATTCAGACACGTGAATTAAGCCAGTGTACCATTAAGCAAGCTGGAACTAATTCTGAATTTAAAAAAAAAAAGCAGCTCTTACTTTCTCTCCCTGGAGAGAGCACTGCCAAGTAACAGTTTGCAAAGCGTTTCGTTCCTCTTCTCCTTGAACTTGGTGGCCAGATTCATGGCAGCATCACCACCGCTGGCTGCAGCCCCCTCACCTGCTTCTCCTCCAGGGCTCTCACTCTTCTTTGAAGCTCAGCTTGGTCTTCACCTTCCGGGCCATGTAAGCGGCTGTGAGGACAGAGCAGGTCACAGTGAAGAGGCACAGGGCAGAGAAGTTGTGCGCCAAATCACCCTGAAGAGCGGAATAGATCTGTCGCCTGGACTCATAGTCCAACACCACCGCCTCGATCTGCGCCAACGTGCAGAGTACCAGGCACACGTGAAAAATCTGATGGCTCTGCCCGAAGAAGTGACATTTCCCGGGAAACCACTTCTCAGGGTAAGGGTGTGAGAAAAAAAAGGCTCCAATGAGGAAAAAGAGCACTTGACATTTGTGATACAGAAGGGCCGGGTCAGCCCGCTCGGAGGGCGACGCGGTGTAGATGCGGTGGATCACAGGGCTGATGTCCAGCACGTACGCCAGGCCGGAGGGCAGCTCCTGGCAGAGCCTGCTCAGAAGGTGAGCGGATTGGTGATACCGGTACTTGGCGTAGCAGGAACCCGCGCAGGACAGCCAGGCTAACAGGACAGCCGCCGGCATGTAAAACCCCTGGATCTTCTCGTGCCAGCTTGGCTCGATGGCGTAGTAGTAGTGCCCCAGAGCGCTGCCGTACTGGTAAACGGCAACCCCCACGTAGTCCATGAAGAAGAAGCTGTAGTGCCAGAACTCAGATTTGGCCTGCAGAAGGTGAGCGAGGGTGCTGAACGTCAGGTAGGTGATGGACGCCACGATGATGATGAGGAGGGGTTGGGCGTGCAGGTCCTGCCCAAAATCCACCCGTTGGGAGAGCTGCTGGAACCGCAGCAGCAGGATCAGCGCTGCAACCAGATGCGTCCAGACGTTGATGGCCTCGTTGTGCTGCTGGAAGAGTGTCGAGAAGTAATAGCGCCAGGTCTGCTGCACCGGCCGGTAGCCGGTGTGGATGTAGGGCTTCCAGAAGATCTTTGGCACCTCCGAACTGCTGACGGTGGAGGGAGAGAGAGGGGCCAGCAGCTGAGGGACCTGCCGCACGTTAATAAAGAGGCGGCTAAGCTTTTCGGTGACGACTGTTGCCATGATGCAGCCAAACTCCGGGTCCCTGCTGCGCAAAACAACCTTTGGGATGGAAAGAAAGTTTTGCTGCAGGGTTTAATAGTGACTTTACCAGGGGGGGGGATCAACAAGCAGGGGCTGTTTGAATGCTCTGTTGGTTCGTGGGGTTTTTTCCCCCCCCCCAAAGAGATGTGAAATCATGCATGACTGGAGAATAGCCTCATTATAGCTGAAATAAAATAATCACCAAAAATAGTAATAGGAAGGATGCTGAAGGGAGATTTAAGAACCCCTGGAGTTCCCCATGCCGTACTAGCGACAGACCGTCTGGAGGAATAGAAGATACAAGTATGAGGTTAATGGACACAAAAAACAAACCCACCAGACACATCAGTTCCCAGCTCAACCCTTCCCAGCAGTTTGGGAACTGCTAAAGAAACCAACCATCCTAAACAAACTTCCCAGTCCAGGAACGGCCCAAATTCTCCCCCTTGTAAACTGTTTGCAGTATCTGTCATTACAAATAACGAGCTGTGCTCCCACAAGCAGCGGGACGACCAGCTCTGCCTCACAAGGGGTGCATTTGAGAACGTAAATGACTATGATGCTGGTAACAGCAGATGTAACTTCTGTGTTTAGAGTTTTTAACCACCTTTTTTCAGCTCCTGATTTTCCAAGCAGCTTTGCGCAAAACCAACGCAGCTCGAGTGAGTTCATCCTGTTGCATCACTGAGGTCCAGCAGCGTAATCTTTGCAAGCGAGCGTTTCCATGTTTACACTTTTGAAGCTGCTGTTTTTACCAAGATAAAGGCAGCCTTGCTGGCTCATTCTGCCTTTTCACCGCAGCCTTAAAAACATACTGAACAGAACACAATCGAAATGAGACTTCCCCCCATCTTTACCTGCTCTTGCTGAGACAAGTTCTGAAGAAAACAGGCCGACTCCTGTCCAGCTCCAGCACTGATTTACGCCTTAACTCCTGGCAAGTGCAGTCATTTCAGGGACGGCTCAGACAGGAAAAGCTCTTCAAAGTTTGGGAACAGGAGGAAGAGGAGGGGACAGGACTGTTTATCTTAAAAATCTCTGTAATTTCCTCATCAAGATGGAGTAGATGGGTCTGTAACTCATGCCTGCCTGAAGCTGAGGAGCACAGATGCAAATAAAAACAGGCTACTTGCTGCTCAGCTTCCCTCTTGAATGCTCTTTTCCCACCTCACCTGGTTCAAGAGGCCCCACGTCAAAAAACCCCCACCCTGGCTCAAGGCAGCACCTCGTGGAGGATAATCCTGACCCTCGCTTGGCCTCCTAAACCCTCCTGTAACACTGCAACATGCACAGGCTGCCAGTGAAAAATTAACTTCATGAACCTCTTCCGGACTTGCAGCTACTTCACTGAACTGAAACAGCCTCGAGTCCTGCCGGGGAGGTGTGGGAAAAAGCAGAACTTGCCAGTTTAAGCTATTTTGACCAAAATTCTATGGGCAGTTTGGAAGAAAACATTGCCATTTTACCACCCAGAGAACTTGCCTCTGTGCCAGGGCTGCCGCTGCCCACAAGGATGCCTGGGTACGTGGGGAGGGGGCTCAGCTCCAGGCTGCGTCTGACCCCGTTACGGCTGCCAGAGGACAAATTCCTACAGGAAAGGCACCCCTGGTTCTGCGCAGGGAGACGCCGTGGCGAAAGCAGCAGGAAAAGCTGCGTTCAGAGCAGCTAGGCACGAGGCAGGAAAGGGAGCCGTGTTTACTCCAGGTCCTTCAAGACTTGTTGGAGCAGGACTTCATTTGCAAAGCTCTTCCTAGCTATGAAGCCTTGAGCAACACAATTATGAACGGAGCACACCCCGCGCAGTGCTGGAAATCATTAATCTGGCTTGTACTCCGAATAATAACCTCCACATGCCCACGAGATGTCAATAACGTTGCCTCAAAGGCCTGTCATTTCCTACGGAGCATTTCCTTTCTC